CATCAGAAAGAATGCTCAGCAATTGTCCATTTAAAGAACCTGCAGACATGTCTATAAGTTTTATTTAATTCAATTTATGCATTTTTTAAATATATATAAAATATGTACCATATTTATTCAAGTATAATACATAAAACTAAACCCATAAAATCATCCATAAATTTGGGGGGTAGTACTATACTTGGATAAATATTTTTACTTATGTATTTTAACTGAAATGTTGGCTTCATTCACAAAATGCCTGAGTCCGGAAATGAGACCGCATTGCAAAAAGCAGTTGAAGCGAACATACTTCCGTCCTTCAGAGCGAGATAGTAACAGATCCAGGCAGGCGACATGATGTGAAAAAAAGGGGACAAAAAGCAGTCCTGCACCTTAGTAATGATAACGAACTAATGACATTAGCGTGTGACCGGGCCGCTCCTCGAACAACAACAAAAACGTTCGTCTGTAATGGCTGCCGTCTACCGATGTTCTGAAAAAGTTTGTATCCCTGAAAAAACATTTCCCCACCAGAGGGGGCACTCGCGAGTAGGAAGTAATCTGCTTTTCCCCTACAAGATGGTTCAAATATCATGTGAAGTCTCTGACTTTTGTGTTGGCACATCCTGGTGGACTATGTGTAAAATGCCAGAATTCATATGATGCTGCTACAGCTAATATATGTTTGTTGTCAAAATACCTTTTAATACATATGTTGTTAAAATAAAATGAACAGTCCAATGATCATTTTACTGATATGTATAAAGACTGCAAAGGCTGAAAAATCTTGAAGTCTGTATGAAATTGGAGGTAGTGGGGGTGTTGTATTATACATGAGATCGTATTATACACAAATAAATATGGTAGTTAAAAAAATTCCACTCATGGTTATTTTTTATATGTATTTGTGCAAATGCTTTCTGAAGTCCTTTGTCACCACCATATTCCTGGAGTAASGAATCATTTCTGAACCAAGCCATGTCTTTTTAAAGTAATAGTATATTCTGCAAAGGTTGATCCCCTTCTGAAYGTACTAAATTTATACCCATCTCTACCTCTTGTATATGTCTTTATCTACAGTGTAGCAACATGAGCCATGCAATTTCTCTTCACTTTGTGCTCTATTAGGGTTCATGTCTGTCAGATCTGTCCTGAGGAAAAAGGTGGCACTTGCGTGATATGATGATATGTGGTGGGTTTGTTGTGTGTGCGTGTGTATTTACACAGACAGACTCATCTTTTATGCTCCTGATGGAAGCACTTCTAAAGCCTGGAGGGCTTTGCCTCCTGTCACACAGTTCCAGATAGTGTGTGGACATTAAAACATTATGACACGTAACAACTGTACAGCATGTTCTCTCTTGCCCAGTACCAGCAGCCTCAGCTTCTAAATGTTGGTTGAAAACCACAGTCRTCTACATTTCATTTGATAATTGAGGTGCTGCTTTTGTTGTTGAAGTTCATAGAAAATGCTTTAGGGAGATAACCTTTTACTAAGCATTTACAAGAATATGATTTAAATCTAAGAYGCCCATGTCATGAGGGCAAGTAGCAGAGCAGGGGAGAAGGTACTCTTCAATCTCAAATCTGCTCAGAGAGTTTATCTAATATTAGGCAGCTGTCCTATATAAGAGAATAAACTGTGGAATTTGGATGCTTTAAAAAATATTTAAAACACAATGTGATTGTTTGCACTTGTTTTATGAATGTATTRAAATATCACTGACATTTACAGGTGGGAAACTCTGGTGGGCAGACGATGAAACGGCACAGCTGGGAACAGTCACCAAGAGAGATGGACGCAATTTCRTGGTCTTGAGAAACAAGACAAGTGGAGTGGTTCACATGAAGGTGTATGAGAAGGAGGGTCAAAAAGGTAAGTAGGCACACACAGAGGAGTGGAGAAAAAAAACATGTCATCCAATGACATTTCAAAGCATTATTTATCTTTGCTGGTTGTGCCTAATATTCAGGAAGAAACCCGTGCCAAGTGAACAATGGAGGGTGCACACAGCTTTGTCTCCCAACCTCGGAGAACACCCGCAGCTGCTCCTGCACTGTTGGCTACAATTTACGAAGTGATCGTACATCTTGTGAGGGTACGAATCTAACTGAGACTCGTTATTCTCTTCAGTGTGAGGCTGTAGATACGCAAAAACAAAACATTTATATAATACATATTTGTTGTTTTTGGTTTTGCATATTTCAAACCTTATACTAAAGCAAGTAATGAGTCTCAGGTAGAGTTTGTCATAATTATTTTGGCTAATAATAATAATGATAAAGACTAACAGGGACCCTCTGTTGGGTTTTAGGCGTTGATTCATTCCTGCTGTATTCCATCCATGAGGGTATCCGAGGCATTGCTCTTGACCCAAATGACAACAGTGAAGCCCTGATGCCCATCACTGGAACCCTGTTTGCTGTGGGAGTGGACTTTCATGCAGGTATGAGTAAAGGACAGAAGTGGGACTGAGATTCTCCAGGTCCTGTGGGACAAACTGCAAATCTTATGAGAGCATTTATTTTTAAAGCTGGTGGAAGTGGGTGGTCAAAAAAAAACATATATATATATATATATAATCCTTAAATCTCATATTTTTGTTATTACACACTGCTTTGTAAATTATGTAAATGTTTTTTTGAAGTCTTTCGTACACAAAGATTATCTTTTTTTTTTCTCTGTCTAATCTAATATTGGTTAAAACATTTAAATCTAARTAAGGCTTTGATRTATTYAACTATTGGGACGTTTCAGTTCAAAGTCTTGCCTTTGGGACAATGTTAAATAAACAAACTCTTGAAGTCCGAATTGGATGCAGTCAGAATAAGAATACTTACTTGGTGATACTCTTGTTGAAGATCATTTTAGGTTTTGATTCTTCGAAACAGGAGATCTATTCTCATCGGAATTTGTCTCTGTATGCATCTACAAGTACAAGTTGGTTGTTTAAACAACTGACAAGAACAATATATTTAAATGTCAAATWATTACAGAAGGTTGTTTACTGACTAATGAAGCCAGTGATGTTGTGCTCTATATGTCCAAAAATAAAATTWGTTTTTTGAGAGGATAATGAAGCGTCAAAACCGACAACAAAAACWGCTTACTTAATGTAATTTTCTCCTTGCAAACCAGCAGATGTCAACTAATGCTCAACTGATTACTGWATGACACATACACACAGACAAAAAAAATAAGATTTTAACACAATGCAGTTGTGTCAGACACCATAGAAGTATTGATTCAAGGGGTTGCCGTGACGGTATACTGCTTTAGTCTCCTAATTTGCCGTGTTAAAAATGTTCAATAGAAGTTCAGAAATACTGTCTGTTTGTTGTTAAATTGTGCATGAGGTAATGCATAATTAGATTCTGAAAGCTAGAAGACTACACTTGGTGATAATAAATACTTGTCTGGGTATTCATAAAGACTTAAAAAAGTGACTGCGCCCAAGGATTTCATGGTTCATAAACATGTTTCATAAATGAAAGAAAGTGACAGAGCTGCAGTTAAAGCTGTCCGTTTTACTAAGGATCTCTTTGAGAACAATTAGCTGTCATTCAAAATTACGAGGTAGTTTCTGTAAAGTAATGTTGCCTTTGCTGATGCTCAAGGTTAATTTACTTTGTAGCTTTTTCACTACCTTTGTAAAAATATATATTGGTACCCCCACCACCCCCCCAAAAAAAACATAAATAAATTAAAACAATCTAGTAATTTTCTTTGGAAACTTTCAAATATTCAGATGAAACAGCTGTTCAGAGTTGATATGTGACAGAGACTTGTCATCATGTAAATTGGACTTCTGAATAAACTTGCCTGACTGGCCTTAACTTTGAAGACAGGTTATGTTTGAATCCTCTGCTGCTGTAATCCTGCTGTCTTTTGACCAAAGCACGTTCCAGAGATTCTTTTTAACCATAGTGAAAATGCTTGTGAAAAATGTCTTTTTACCCTCGTWAGCAGAAAGGCATTGCATATATTTAGTAGGGCTGTGAAATTAATCGAGTTAACTCATATTGGTTAATTTTAGTGTTGGGCATAGATTAAAAATTTTAATCGCGATTAATCTAACTTTTTTTTAACAATCACTTTACTATGGCATATGTAGGTTTGTATATTGCAATGCACTCCATGTCAGTGCATGCCAGGTCATGTTTGAAAATGAGAAGTGGTTCTCAAACATTTTACCAGGATAAATAGAGGTTAAATAAATAAAAAAACCTCCATGTGTAACACATTATGTACAGTCTTGTTTTTCTTTTTGTCTTCTTATGGCTTATTTTATTTTATGTATTTATGTTTTGCTGACAACTGTGACCTTAGTATCCATCTTTCATTCCTCATGTAGTACTCATTTGGAATGAAAATCCTTGAATTCTTGATTTAACCTCATTATTCCGCACAAAATTTAACTGACTCAAATGTGTTTGGAGCATTTTTAGGTCATGTTTTATATTAAAAGATCAGGTCTAAGCATCAATTTTGTTTTCTAAATATAAACATTAAAAACTAATWAAYAACTCGAGTAATTTATTTTATCAATATGCAATAGAAATGTATATTAAATTTAAGATTAATCGTGATTAATTCACAGCTACTTTGGGATTAATAGGATTACAAATAATAATCATTTGACAGGATTAATATTTAATAGATTGACAGGAATGACTGTTGCTTTAGATTTTAGGTTTCAGCCAACATGATGGCTTCATGCTATCTAAAATCAAAYAAACAAAAATAAAAACTATATAGTTGGGAGGTTGTCTTGCAATTGTAGGATCGGGCGTTTGATCTCCAACCACTGCCGCATATCAAAATGTCCTTCGGCAAAACACTGTACCACCCACTGCCCCCAGCATGCTTATTGGTGTGTGAGTGAGAATATAAAAGKGCTGCATATGTAGAGTGCAAATGTACAACAGAAATCAGTGTGTTGCTGTGAATGAAATTCAGTCTAAACTGCTTTGGAGGACYTTTAKGTTAAGAAGACACGATCCTGTCGAAGGTGTGGACCATCGTTGCATACAAAACAAACAAAACAAGATATTTCTGACAAAGACTTCATCTCGTGAAAATCAGACTTCACATTTCWCTGCAGGTTTTGAATTGCAACAACAAATATCCATCCTCTTGCCAAAGCTTCCACTCATACAGTGAGAAGGATTTTCGAAGGTTATGTCAGTTGTTATGTCACAAGTTCAATAAAACGGATGCCATCTTCGATTATGCTTTTGGGAAATCACTTTGGTGCACTTCTTTCTCCTGTTTTAATGTGGTTTATGACTTTTTTAGTTGCCTGCCGACCCAGCGCTAATCCTATCTCTTATTTATGATTCTGAGCCGTTGGTGGTGGCTTCTTTATTCTCCTTGATATATTTGATGTGCTCACTGGCCTTCATGCATTTTTGTGTTTATAATGGCTGTGAAACACCAAAGTAATTCGCTCCTAACACCTATTGCACTGGAGTGTTTTTTTAAATTGCAAATGCTCTTCACACCTTGTTGTTTTGAGGAGGTATACACTTTTTGACATTATCTATTTGTTTCCAAATTGAAAAGATTTTGAAATATTAAAGAAAAAAGATAGATTTGTTTGGTTGGAGTTGTGCTATAAGGTAAAGCCCAAGAAAACATATRAAGAAAAATGCTTCCAAATTGTCATTTAGGTTAAATGGTGCAGGGATATGCAGAGAGACTGAGCATCTCTCATTCCGATTAGTTAAAACGTTCAGAATAGGTAGAATCATGGGATTCTTCTTCAGTACATCCATAAGGACAATATTTGGAAACATGAAAATGCATAACTTACATATCAGTAATTAGACATGAAGTAAAGTGTTTTTACTAAAAATAATAATAATAAAAAGCATATTGCAAAACATTTTATGTTAATTTTGTTTTATTTGTTTAGTGCGCAAATGATCTCTGCAAAAAGGAAACAAACCAGATTGAAATTCATTTACATAAAGTCACATCCATTCCAATTTATTCTAAATAAACAGTCATATTCAGTCCAATGGCTTACAGTGCAGAATTAGTAAATACAAACAAATGCCAGTTTGTAAACAGTGCTGTCTAACTAAAGATATCAACAAACTGCATTTAATCTTCATTTGGATTTGTTACTCAAATCACARTAAACAACAGTGTGGTGGGTAACTGGGGAAAGGCCTCCAATGTAATCAGACAGATAAAAATGGTTTCTTCTTGACCAGATAGGGTTGAAAGGACAAGAAAGTGGCACAATTAAGCAGAACGGCACCATAGTGGATTATACATTTGTAAGTGGACTGTATAAATGCATGGTGTTAAATAAATAAAAAACAGTGTTCGCAAATATTGAAACTTGTGAAATTCTAATTTAGGACAGCTTATAACAAATATAGGTACCAAACCTTTATTTTATGGTTTAATTTATTACTTAGAAAAAAATATTCACTGCTACATTCACAATAATATTTACACTTTAAATATAAGTTGGCATTTATTTTTTAAAAGAGCAGCAGATAAAAAAAAACTGTCATTTTGCATGTTTTCTGTTATTTCCATGAAGGTTAATGAAATGATAGTAATAATCCATTTCATATACAGTATTAAGCCACAAAGATTTTTTTTTTCAAATAACCAGCCAATTAAATGGCAGCCCAGGCATGGATCAGCAGACCTCTGCTGTTACTCAGGAGACAACATTATCCACTGACTAATATGCTATGAAGGGAGAAAATGATGCCAAACTACTGTCCACAGGAGAGACTGTGGAAACACTCAGACTGCTGACTGATGTATTCTATTTTTGTTTGTATTGTTTTTTTTGTTGCTGCAAATTTAAACTGCAACGAAAACCAAAAATGGAACATTGCATCCCTAAGCGTTTCATCAAAAATCTAAAGAACTAATAAGTTAATATTGATATGTGGATATCTACAGGCATATGAACTGATTATATTAGGAGGTCATTATAAAGCCAATGGTGGTCCAGGGTTAGGTAATAAGTTAACGTGCAGCTTACATTGGTTGTCGACTCAAATAAGCTGTACTCAGTAAATAAGCCCAGAGAGTCTTCATGCCTTTTATAGTTGCATTTATCCTGAATTGTTTTTCCTATCAAACAACATAAACAAAGAATGTAGTCACCCATGYCCCAAACAGTAGTCATGAGTTAGATTCTTATACAATAACTATCTAAAAAGTCTGAAATCAAAATTTAAATCAGAGACCTGGAAGATCAATTGCAACGTTGAAGYGTGACCACAGCTTTTGAAAAAGAAGCAGCGAGTTGAATTCATAATAAGACAAGTACAAAATTCAATGATTGTCCTTGTCTTTAATTTTTTGGGCAAGTGAACATGCAAATGTAGTGCTAAGCCCATCCAAGAGCAGCACCTGACAGCATGCACATTTCATTTGCATATCATTATAGAAGCCAGGTTGCCAGAGCAGAACAGATGAAAGCCCTGCAGCTGTATTCTGTCATATGTCATCTTTSTGTTAACAGAGTGTGAAGGCAGCAGGAACAAGATAGTCCAATTAAATGTATGACGCTATCTAAGCTCTTAACAACCTGTGGAAAGTCAAACCGACTGAGTCATGAAAGAAATGTGCGCGTGCGCACACATTCACACACACACATAATTGGTTTTGCTACTAGATAAAAGACTTACTTTAACCAAGACCATGACTTGCAAGGGGTATTATACTTCCCCATAAGCTTTTTCATGAACTGTATATCAACAAAGTGCTGTTCTTGATTTGTGGTGCTCTGTAGTGCCACACATCTGGTGAAATGGGCCATGCTGCAGTAAAATGTGCTTTCACAAGATGCTTTGTTTGAAAGCGTAAATACATCTATGGCAGCGACATTCATTATCCCATTATCCCTTGTCATTAATGGTATGGTGTAATTTGCAGGAAATGACACCGTGTACTGGACAGACATGGGGCTGAACAAAATATCCCGTGCCAAACGTGATCAGACCTGGAGGGAGGACGTCATTACTACTGGCATCAGTCGAGTGGAAGGCATTGCTGTGGACTGGATTGCTGGTCGGTATTGTGACTCCCCAGATCCTAGAGTTATTACCACAGGCTGWCAAGTTGCTATTGATTGTTAAAAATGCTCACTTTAGGTGTAATGCCTCTAGTTATGGCAGTGAGTAAAGGAGTAGTTTTTTTTAATCTGCTCTGACAATAAACATTAAGCTTTAGTAGCAGAGTAAGAAATTTTATACGCGACATAAAATCACTCGTAGCTCAAATACAAAAGAAACGTAACTTTTAATATATTGCATAAGTATGTTCATGTTAACAACTTTGTGTGTGTGTGTTTTATTTCCTAGAAGATACACAACCCTTTTCAATTTTTACACACCTGACTATCTCATCTCTCTACACAGGAAACCTATATTGGACAGACCACGGTTTTAATCTGATAGAAATTTCCCGTCTTCATGGTGCGTATCGTTCAGTCGTAATATCTGAAGGACTTGATCAGCCACGGACCATTGCTGTACATCCACAGAAAGGGTGAGCAATTTGTTTTAGATTTGTTAGCCTTTTGATATAATCAATTGCATTCCCTATTGTGTTTGTCTATTTTTCCCCAAAATCTTTACATAAGTTAAAGCAGACTAAATACAGTATGTGTACAAGGGCTCACCAAATCTGAAAAGAAAGCACTACCCACCATTTGCATTCCTGCACAGCAGATTTTACCTTTTTTTTTTCTTGGTTGAGTACAGGAGGATGATGTACAAATCATCTGGTACATTTAAAAATGGCTTCCCTAACAAAAGGAGTCAACCTTCTGTATTTACACTTTTAATAATTTAAAATAATTCATTGTACAGTAAGGTTATATTTTGCCCCATTAAAACATCACAATTGGAATCATTGAAAAAATTATGTAACACACAATTTCAGAAATTTATTTCAGTTTATATTGTAAATTTAGGTCAGCCGATTCTCTGTTTTTGAATCTTACTATGATTGACAGATATCTCTTTTGGACTGAATGGGGGCAAAACCCTTGCATTGGCCGCTCTCGCCTGGATGGTTCGGACCAAGTTACATTAGTCAATTCGGGCATCACCTGGCCCAATGGAATTTCCATAGACTTTGAGGTAAAGTTAAACGTAGCCGCGCAAACATTGTCTTGGAATACATTCACTTCCGTATTCAACAGCTTCTACCTCAAATCACAATTTGAGCGTGAAAGATGACTTTGACTAAGAAGCTTTGTTTTTGATACGCATTYGGAAAATTTCCTTACAGGAAAATACATTATACTGGTGCGACGCACGCACGGATAAGATCGAGAGGATCAACCTTGAAACGGGTGAGAGGCGGGAGATTGTACTATCGGCGACCAACGTAGACYTGTTCTCAGTGGCTGTGTTTGGACCTTACATCTACTGGTCTGACAGGTAATTTATTATTTTCTTTAATGCACTCACTTGCATTGTCCTRCAAAGCCTGTATGACAACTTTAGATCAGCTTTTCTCAACAAAGGTCATTTGTAAAGATATCAAGAGGAGTGTATTGTTCTTAGTGATAATCACAAAGTAGTTTTCTAAATACAAAGACAAGTCTTTGTTGTCTGCAACCCCATTTATGTCTGCAACACCATTTATCTTTATTTTTTGTAAAGACAGTTGCCTTAGTTGTGTCAAAACTGTGTGATTAAACTTTGTGACTGATTTTTTTTACACTCATTTTGCTTATATACAGTGGGTAAAATAAGTATTGAACACATCACCATTTTTCTCTGTAAATATATAGTGATCCATACATACAAAGAAATCAAACCATAAATTCCAGAAATGAAGTTATTTGTAATAATGTGGAATGGCACAGGGGAAAATTATTGAACACGCTTACTGAAATTTATCAAATACTTTGTACAAAAGCCTTTGTTGGCAATGACAACTTAAAGACGCCTCCTGTATGGAGAAACCAGTTGCATGCATTGCTCAGGTGTGATTTTGGCCCATTCTTCCACAGTCTTCAAATCTTGAAGGTTTTGTGGGCCTCTTCTATGGACTCTGATCTTTAGTTCTTTCCATAGGTTTTCTATTGGATTCAGGTCAGGTGATTGGCTGGGCCATTCCAGCAGCTTTATTTTCTTTCTCTGAAACCACTTGAGTTTCCTTGGCTTTGTGTTTGGGCTCATTGTCTTGCTGAAATGTCCAGCCAYGTTTCATCTTCATCATCCTGGTAGATGGAAGCAGATTTTTTTTATCAAGAATGTCTCTGTACATTTTTCCAYTCATCCTTCCTTCAATTATTTGAAGTTTGCCAGTACCATATGCTGAAAAACAGCCCCACACCATGATGTTCCCACCTCCAAACTTCACTGTTGGTATGGTGTTTTTGGGCTGATGTGCAGTGCCATTTGACCYCCAAACATGATGTGTATTCTGGCATCCAAACAGTTCAATGTTGGTCTCATCTGACCAGACTATATTCTCCCAGTATTACACAGGCCTGTTTAAATGTTGTGCAGCAAACTTTAAAGGAGCTTCAACATGCTGTTTCTTCAGCAGTGGAGTCTTGCGTGGTGAGCGTGCATACAGGCCATGGTGGTTCAGTGCATTACTTATTGTTTTCTTTGAAACAAACGTACCTGCTAATTCCAGGTCTTTCTGAAGCTCTCCACAAGTGGTCCTTGGCTCTTGGACAACTTTTCTGATCATTCTTTTCACTTCTCTGTCAGAAATCTTGTGAGGAGCACCTGGTCATGGTCAGTTTATGGAGAAACGATGTTCTTTCCACTTCTGAATTTTGGCCCCTACAGTGCTCGCTGGAACCTTCAGAAGTTTAGACATTCTTCTGTAACCGATGCCATCATTCTGCTTTGTAACAATAAGGTTGCGAAGGTCTTGAGAGAGCTCTTTACTTTTACCCATCATCAGATGGTTCTTGTGTGATACCTGGCCATCATCTGGGWCTGAACCAGCTGATGTCAACTTGCACTGACAAGGGGCAGGCTTGCTTTCTAATTACTGAGAGAGTTCAGCTGGTGTCTTGGCTTTCCATGTCTTTTTACACCTCCCTTTCTTCATGTGTTCAATACTTTTTCCCTGTGTCATTCCACATTATTACAAATAACTTAATTTCTGGATATTTATGGTTTGATTTCTTTGTATGTATGGATCACTTGGATTGKTACCGACATCTGGTGAAAATTTCATGTCATTAGCACCTCTAGTAATGTATTTACTGAGAAAAATGTTGACGTGTTCAATACTTATTTTACCCGCTGWATATGTAATTTTAWGTGTGTTTATTCAACTCTGTCCTAGCTCTCAAATACAGCGTGATCTTTTCTGAAATGTAAATGCTGTTTGCTGATTTTTTCTACTGACAATAACCAGGGCCCACTCCAATGGTTCAATCCGCCGGGCTTTTAAGACTGACATCAATGAGCCTATAACCATGAGGAGTGGCCTAGGGGTCAATTTAAAAGACGTTACCGTTTTCAATAGAGACAGGGAAAAAGGTAAGATTTAACTTTACAGTCAGTCACAGTTTTGAGTGCTGTAAATTTGTAAAGGACTTCTTAAAAATTTTTATAAGGTTACCATATGCCACATTAGGCCAAGCATTGGGTTTTTGTCTCTCCTGTATGGGCAGGACAAATTAAAGCTGACAGCATAAAGCAGGAACTAAAGCAAGCYGGTAACTGAACATGTGTTTTGTTTTGAAGGCACCAACCCCTGTGCCAGGAGTAATGGAGGCTGCCAGCAGTTGTGCTTTCACCTGGGCAGCGGTCGACGAACCTGCTCCTGTGCTCACGGCCGCTTGGCAGACGATGGTTTTGTCTGTAAGCGCTATGAAGGTTATTTACTCTACTCCGAAAGGACTATACTGAAAAGCATCCACCTTTCAGAYGAAAACGACCTCAACTCACCCATTCAGCCCTTTGAAAACCCAGCTTTTTTTAAGAACGTCGTAGCGTTGGCCTTTGACTACAGCCAGACCAGCACTGGAACCAACCGCATCTTTTTTAGCGATGTCCATTATGGAAATATACAAATTATTAATGATGACTGGACTGGAAGAGCTGTTATCTCAGAAAGTAAGTGTATTTCATGTTGTCAAAATGCTCCCAGGTTTTACAATTTTATCTCATAAAACTCACACTTTTTACTCAATGCATGTTTGTTTGTTTCCCAAGAGCTTTAGATTTTTGACATTGTGGTATCTGCTTAGAGTAGCACACATTATAGTAGATGGCTGTTATTATTTCTTGTGCTATTTACCCACTTGTTGCATTTCAATGGCATGATTAGCTTTCTGTTTTATTGTGCTTCCTAGAAACTCTATWTTCAAAATAATAAGCCAATGGAATGCAACTGCAACAGCTGTTTTAATCTGCTTTTTCTGAAAAAGGGGGGAAAGTGTAAATGATGTGCATGTTTTCCTCCAGTTTTGATGATGTAAAAAAATGTGGGTATTTGCAGTGTTAATTGCAGCTGTCTAAGTTAATTTCATGAGTGTTTTATGTTGCGTTGTTACCATATAGAGCTCATGCTTAAAATATTCCTGATTACTTGCTGCCCCCATCTGAAAGGGATCCCTGATTAGTTGTAACATTAGACTTAATTTGATAAACATTTATTTTAACTGTAAAATGAAGACTTTAAAAATACTGTAGGGTGTTTAGTTTTGTAAATTTTTCAAAATATATTTTAACACGGACGGGACCATTTTATTTACATGCAAAGCATTCTGAGTAAATGATGACATGGGTAGGTCATCGGTGTGAGCGAGCTATATCCACCCTGAAGGTTAATCTTGGACAATATCTGACGATTTACTCTTTTAAATGAAACCAGAGAGCGTTGACAGAGAGGATGAAGTAGAAATGACTCAGTCTACAACTGAAAATATGGATGAGGACAACRGAGCTGCTTCRTGGAAGAAGAAACTCAGTTTAGCCTGTTAGCCTTTGCGCTAGCGCCAACACTATTGCCTTATATGTAATAGCTCAGCGCTAGCGCAACAAGCTAACAAGCTAAACTGAGGTCCATCCATCCATCCATCCATTTTCTTCCACCTATCCGGGGTCGGATCCGGGGTCGGTCAGCTTCAGAAGGGAGGCCCAGACCTCCCTCTCCCCAGCCACTTCTTCCAGCTCCTCCAGGGGAACTCCAAGGCGTTCCCAGGCCAGCCGAGAGACATAGTCCCTCCAGCGTGTCCTGGGTCTTCCTCAGGGCCTCCTCCCGGTGGGACGTGCCCGGAAMACCTCACCAGGGAGGCGTCCAGGAGGCATCCTTACCAGATGCCCGAACCACCTCAACTGGCTCCTCTCGACGTGGAGGAGCAGCGGCTCTACTCTGAGTCCCTCCCGGATGACCGAGCTTCTCACCCTATCYCTAAGGGAGAGCCCAGCCACCCTGCGGAGGAAACCCAAACTTGTATCCGGGACCTCGTTCTTCATCCATATTTTCAGTTGCAGGCTGAGCCATTTTTGTKTTCGTCTCTCTGTTATGTGGATGGAGGACCTCAGTGACGAGAGGAGAATATGTAGCACTGAGCTAATACATATATATGTGTAAAGAAAATGGCCCCGTCCGTGTAATATATTTTTTAACTTTTAGTTTAAAAATTATAAAAATTAAACAGCCTACAGTATTTTTACAGTCTTTATATTGCAGTTAAAATAAATGTTTATTAAATAAAGTCTAATGTTACAACTAATCGTGGATCTCTTCAACAAAGAACAATCTCTTCAAACAACATCCTTGTCAATCATACCTTGATAATAAGCGGCTGGAGACAAATAAACAGCATAAACTGTCTGTTCAATACAACCGTCCTGTGCCATTCTGAGAAGTTTCCACAGGGAGCAGAACTCTGCACCTTCCCTCCTTTTTCTCACACACAGAGACTGGCAGAGTGTTACAGATCCACTCGCACCCATCCCCCCAGCCCATCCTCCTCCACGCTCTTGCTGAGGGAGCTTTCTGCTTATTTATTTATCTTCTAGAAATGAACAGGCATTATCAAGAACCATCTGTCAGGAGCGTAAGTGTCCTTCACGCCTTCCCACTTGTGAAATGCAAAATGAAAGTGGTCCAAATATTTCATACGAGAGCAATTTGAAATTTGGAGTCCACAGCATTTGTCTATTCCTCATTTTAAAAGCTGYGCTGACACATTGTTTTTTTTAATGCAGCTACAACGGAAATAATTATAGCAGGTCATTAGGATGTTCCTTGTTTAAGATATATTATTTAGTCTTGAATCAAAGCAGGCCACATATATTTTTTTAGATGGGGTCATCATCTTTAGGCAACATTTCATACTGTCCTTCCACATAAAAGCTAAACGGTCTTCCTCTACCTTTTTTTTCCCTGAAGCTCATCATTGAGGAAAGGTGAAGATGTTAATCATCCATATTTCCCTAATTAAACTCTGAGTCCCTCATTAATTACTCTCTTGCGTGGCCAACAATTTGTGAGAAACTCCATGCTGCCAGACAGCTTTTATAGCAAACTATTAATTAGTTGTCGGCTGACTCAGACCGAGTCTTTAAGTATTCAAGGGTATAGTTTATGTGGTTTTTAGACACATGGTTATAGTCAAGTTATCCAAAATCAGCACGTTTAATATTTAGTCAAATGAAAGATGGCATTTGTGGATAAACTTGCATAACAAAGGTCTGTTATAGATGAAGTTTTCCATATTTTTGTGACTATTGAGACACTTAAGATTACATATATATGGAAGTTTTTTTTAAGTTCCCAGCAGTTTGCCTAATTAAGAAGAAAGTTATTTGGCTTTTCTAAATGTTTTCCTCCCATGACAAATTGTTGCTCGATTAATTAGATATTTAACTGAAACGTTCATACATTAGTGGTTGACAGATGGAGAAGAAGGTTCATCAAAAGTTGATTTGTAAAGCAATTTTTATGAACATTTTTTGATAGCAAAAAGACTGGCTGAGTGAAGGTTTGTTTAATATTTAATATGTGTGTAGTGCTGGGAAAAGGAACCAAATGCTGTTATCATTTTACAAAGGAAAGTAAACAATATTYTTGTTTTAGATACTTTCCTTTTTCCTTTTTTATTTTTCCACATACTATACCTAGGGGTTACAGTGCTCTCAGATGGGAATTTTAAAAATTWGATTTTGTTTTTCATTTTCTCCAATATTCATTGCTGACAATTTGTTCTAAAATATAAAATAAATTATACCAAAACTGATGTTTCTGTGATGCAGGAATAGCAAAGCTAAAATGGGATATTAATGAATCTTTGAAAGAAGTAGGTTAGACTTAGTAATTAAACATGAATATAGCTAAATTATCTATCAGTAATCAGTACATCTGTCTGCAGTTTTAATTTTGTGTCACTCACATCAATGCATTTGCATGGGAGGCTGCAAATGCCTTATCTTATCCTGCGTTTAGGAAATAGTTTTGCAATGAAAACACACTCAGTTCCTGAGTGAGTGTTGCATCAACAAAAAGCCGTCTGTCCAGAGTAGTGAGGCATGAAGCAAGTTTTAGGCTGATTATCAATGAAACACAATCCCAGCTCTAACACAGAAGGGGATGGATGGATGGATGGATGGATGGATGGATGGATGGATGGATGGATGGATGGATGGATGGATGGATGGATGGATGGATGGATGGACTACCAAACATTTTTGGAGTCCTTCATTGGAGTGCTCAAAACTACTCTGAGGATTTATTGACTTACTGGGGGACTTCTACACACAGCCAATGATAGTGTGACATGAAAGGGAGGAACTCTCAGATCTGTATGGTCTGCCAGAGTGGAGCTGTGCTTTAACTTCTTTCATCAGTGTTGCTTTTTGGCTGATGACCTTCCAGCTAGCAAAATTGGCACCCTGTGTAGATTCATAACGTAGACATGACTAGAAAGTATTTGTTTCTGTGCTATAATATTGTGCATGTCACTGTTTGTCTATAATAAACACAATTTTAGGTGTCTACATGCATGTCGCACCATGTTCCACTGGGTCACAGAGCTATGGTTAATTTTCTAATTGTCATTAGAGCTGTGAAGTTATCACCACCAGATGTTGTGTTGGATAAAGTGGTATGGTGTAGTTGAAGGTATGCTGAGAATGTTTGACAGATGTTCCTGTCCATGGGTTAACCCCCACAGCAATCTAAAGAAGACAAGGGGTTTGGACTCTGAATGAGCCTTGTTCTGGGTCTCTATGTGACAGAATTGTTACAGATCTAAAACAGTTTATGCCTGCAGTTATCCCTGAACTTGGTAGTGTTCAAATTCCAGCCCATCGTTCGCCTAAGGTAGAGACAGAAAGAAAAGGATTGTGAATACAAGAAACTGAAATGAGCTTCTGATGTAGAGCGGCTGGATTTACCCTATCTCTAAATGAGCAAAAAAAATCCAACCTTGTTTAGCACATAAGGCAGGCCTCTGGGTAGATCTTAGTGAACATACTGTATTTTATCTCACAACTAGCTTAGAGATGGCTCCCAAATCGGATGGAGGAAGTACCTAAAGGAAGGGAAGTAGTCTGCTAAAGCTAATGCAAGTGTGCCTGATTGGATGGATCGATGGATGGATGGAGATGGGCAATGTTATAACTTTAAAAAAGCATATGTATACATTAGAATGTTTCATTGAAGAGGTGTTTGTTGATTATTGATATTTTATTAATTTTATTTATTTGTGTTTGTTTTGCTTTGTTTTTAAGATGTGGGTTCAGTGGAGGGTCTGGCTTACCACCGAGCTTGGGACACCTTGTATTGGTCCAGCACCACCACTTCTACCATCACCAGAAAAACTGTAGACCAGAAACGGGTTGGTGCCTTCCCCAGGCAGGCAGTGGTCACGCTTTCAGAGGAAGACCACCCACATGCCCTGGCTCTGGATGAGTGTCAAAAGTCAGTAGTAGTAGTTCATACTTCTCTGCGTTCCAAAATGCTGAATGAGTTTATTACCGATCCAATGCAATGCGTTGCTGTTTTCTCAGGTACTGTGTAAATAATGAAATGAAATAACATTTAACTGAAAGAAACACATTGCCTGAGTTCAGTATGTTCACCATTCACCTATATTAGTTATTTATTTAAAAGAAAATGAAAAGTTACATTAAAAGAAGATATTATGCACGTATAACAGTGTAATTTACATGCAACCATGTAGCCAACATTTTATCATGATTGTTATTATTTAATTTAAATTTGGAAACTCTTGTTAATTTTATAACAAATTTAAGATCCTGTTGATTGTTTGTAAATCTGTTTGTGGAATGGAATTCTGATGTGCTGCCAAGATATTCTCTGGATACAGTTCTCATAAATTTAGTGGTTACATCACGATAAAATGCAGACAGAGGAAGAATAGTGAGGGAGTCACATGTGCTGCTCATCCATTTAAACTGCTTTTTACTTAGAATTCGATAACTCATGCTTATTTTGTTATGAATCCATTTTGCTGATTTAAGAAAAGTGAATTTGTATGTTAGTATTTTATATTCATATTTTATTGGTCAGTTTTTGGTTTCTCTAGAAAAGACAAAACTTAAAATAAATATTGATTTCAATAGATTTCTCTATCAAAGCAAAACATCTAAAAAAGGTCATATGTAAGAAGTAGTTTAATGGATTTTTAGTCTTTTTTTTCTTTTAGGTCTCATCAAATGCAGGTTTAAATATTTGTTTTTGTCAAACATGTTTTCATGGTTTATATTAGGGTTTATTGAGCATTTTTTTCTCCTTGGAATTCAATGATTAGATGTAATAAGTTTGATTCATAGAATTAAGAGCAACACGTTCACTGGTTTCATGTATAGCATGTTATCATCATCTTTCCAAGAATTTTTTTTTTTTTTTTTTTTTTTGGAAATGGCTAAAGTGTTTTCTGTTAAAACTACTTTTGTACATGATTGTAAGAAAAAAATGTTTCAATACGCAGCCAGAAAATGAGGGTTTTGCTACTCCTGTTAAATTACTAAATTAATTTCCTGACCTCAACTAATCTTGGTTGGCAGCTTGGCAACATATCTTCCACTCCAGAACCTCAGTCTGATTATTATTATTCAAACTAATGTCATTACCGGTAATTATAAACTCTGGTTGTGACTTCTGACCTGGTTTTTATATCATTATACTTCATGACAATGTCACAAAATACAAAGAGAAGCCAGTATTAGGGTGATTTTTATTTATGCAATTTCTGATTGCATTTACCTTTGTTTACAGTTGTTTCATCCGCACAGCAATGGATTTAAAACGTGGACTCTTTGTTGCAGTCTCACACCACTGGAGAAACAAATCTTACTCTCATTTCTGCAGCTGATGCTATCTGTTTTTTGATATTTTCACACAAAAGAATCTGCACGGATGACCTTTAATCACACAACCTGCTAATTCATTTCAATTACTTGAAAGTGAGCCACAATTATATCATCAAAGAGCTCATTTAGGGCACAGAAAGGAAGTCAGTAAGGTCTTTTCAGCTATTAGATGTTATTAACATATTTAAATAACTGTACAAATAATCACCAACTATAATTCAGTAATGACCATGTCTACTTCAGACTTGTGTGTGTGTGTATTCTGCATGCATGGCTCTGGTTTTGCAGCATTTTTTGTTACGCCTATAAATAAAATAAATCAATTGTTTCTAAATGGTCATTTAGTCACATATGACTCATTTATTTTGTTGCAACAAGTAACTCCTCTTTGAGATGTAAAGGATTTGTAACATAGTGGGCTTAGCTGCGTGTTTCAACTATTAAGAGGAAGCAATGCATTGTGATTGCTAGAACTAATAGTCCGTTTTACTTGTTTAGCTTGATGTTTTGGACGAACTGGAATGAACAGAGGCCGAGCATCATGAGATCCACCTTAGCTGGCAAGAACATGATGATCGTCATTAGTTCTGACATCTTGACGCCCAATGGACTGACGATTGACCACAAAGCAAAGAAGCTTTACTTTTCTGATGGAAGCCTTGGCAAAATTGAAAGATGTGACTATGAYGGTTCCGGTCGATTTGTGAGTATGAAATTCACCTTTTCTTGTGTAAAATCTTGTGCATTTTTAAATAGSTTTAACATATTTGTGTCACCTTTTGCATAATGAATGTGACCTCTCAATCACAGCAGTTTAAATTGTTTCTGGACCATTTTACTTAAGAGTGGACCAGCTGTCGTTGAAATTTAAAGCAACAATTTGCGAAAGGCACATTCTTATGGATAGAATGTCAAATTGTCTTCTTGCTTTGAATGGAAAATGTTTTTTTTTTTTTTTACATCTAATCTTCCATGCAGTTGAGCTCCTGGAACCAGACCCTCTACACAACAGATGGGATTTGAAATACTTTTTGAAGTTGTCTTATTTCCTTTCTGAGGGCACAGATGGTTTCCTTAATCACAACAGTCCACCCCTGCTAAAGTAAATAAAACTCAGTGAGAGAAGTTCACGTTTGGTTCATAAAAGTTTCATGCATAATGGATGACATTCCAAGCAGCTGTGTCCAGGTTGTACGGAGGATTACAGTGCAAGATGACCTTTTTCTGCCACAGATTCAAGCTTTTGCTCAACATGGCCTGTGTGGCTAAGCACTTTGGCCCATCTCAATTAGTTACCCATACGTGTGATGAGCTAGGTCACCAGGCTCAGAAAGTCCTCATCTTTGAGACCCCACCTGCACTTGCCGCAGTCCAGTCCAGCTAAAAAAAAGGCTTTGCTGTAACACTGCTCTGGGTGCAGGATTTCCATTCCAATTAAAATGTGTAAATTAAACCAAGGAGGCTGACTGTTGACTTCATTCTTTCACCAAAACATGGTTGTTGGATGTCTTCAGGCAACACATCCACTCAAAATATATATAAATATATAGATATTGTTTAATTTCACATGACATTGATGTTCAAATTACCAAAAAATTGCCAGTAGCTGCAGGATTAAAACAAACTAAAGATTTCAAACAAAAGTGATTGGAGACATTGTCATACAGGAGTTTTAGGTCGTATTCAGACCTGATCATTTGCTCCGTTTTAAACGAACCAGAGTTCGTTTCCAGCGTTGGTCCGGAC